AGAATCATAGCATTACTGGTTTGAGAGGCCCCCTAAAGTAAATACAGCTGTAGTCACCAAAAATTAAGATCACAATAACCAGGTCCCTTTGAATACCTGGAAAGCCTTCACCAAAAGAATCGGTACAATCAGGCCCAGACTGTAAAGAATACAATAAATACCTAATTCTTTAATGCGCAAAAACTGACAAACATCCACATGCATCAGCACTATTCAAAAACAAATGACATCACCAAATTACTTAATAAGGCACCAGGGACCAACCTCAGAGAGACAGAAATATGTAACTTTTCAGACAGAGAATTTCTAATAGCTATTTTGAGAAGGCTCAGTGAAATCCAAGAGAACACAAAGAAGGAATTCAGAATACTATCAGATTAATTTAATGAAGAGATTGAAATAATTAAAAATAATGAAGCAGAAATCCTGGAGTTGAAACATACAACTGACACATTAAGAATGCATCAGAGTATGTTAACAGAATTGATCAAGCAGAAGAAAGTATTATTGAGTTTGAAGATAGGCTTTTTAAAAATGTACAGTCAGAAGAGATAAAGGAAAAAAAAGAATGAAAAACAATGAAGCATGCCAATATGGTTGGGCTGTGTCTGCACCCAAATATCAACTCGAATTGTATCTCCCAGGGACCCAGGTGGAGGTAACCAAAACATGGGTGCTGGTCTTTCTTGAGCTATTCTCATGATAGTGAATAAATCTCATGAGATGTGATGGGTTTATTAGGGGTTTCCAATTTTTCTTCTCTCCCATTTTTCTCTTGCCGCCACCATGTAAGAAGTACCTTTGCCTCCCACCATGATTCTAAGGTCTCCCTAGCCATGTGCAACTGTAAGTCCAATTAAATGTATTTTTCTCCCCAGTCTTGGGTATGTCTTTATCAGCAGCATGAAAATGGGCTAATGAGATCTATAAAATAGACTTTGTAGGGCAAAGCTAAGAGTTATTGGCCTTAAAGAGGAAGTAGAGAGAAAGAGGTAAGAAGAGAAATCTTATTTTAAGGGATAATCACAGAGATCTTCAAAACCTAGAGAAAGATGTCAATATTTAACTAGAAGAAGGTTACAGAACACCAAGCTAATTTAAACTATAGAAAACTATTTTAAGGCATTAATAATCAAAATCCCAAAGGTGAAGAATAAAGAAAAAATCCAAAAAGCAGCAAGAAACAGCAACAACAACAGCATTCAAAGGAGGTCCAATATTTTTAACAGGAGACTTTTTAGTGGAAATCTTACATACCAAAAGAGAGTGGCATGATGTATTTAAAGTGATGAATACAAAATAAAAATTTTTACCTTAAAACAGTATATCATTGAAAATATACTTCAAAAATAAGGAAGAAATAAAGATTTTCACAAACAAAGGCTGAGGGATTTCATCAACAGCAGACTTAACCCACAAGAAATGCTAAAGAGAGTTGTTCAATCTAAAATAAAAAAAAAATTAATGAATGATATAAAATCACCCAAAAATAAAAAAAATCACTGGTAATACCAAGTACACAATTGAACAGAAAATATTATAACACTGTAATTGTGGTTTCATATTTTGAGAAGAAACACTAAAAGATGAATCTAATAAAAATAACTACAACAACTTTAAAAGACATAGAAAATATAATAAGAGATAAATAAAACAAAAGCTTAAAAAGTGAATGGGGATGAAGTTAAAGTATAGAATTTTTATTAGATTTCTATTCACTTGTTTGTATTGGCAATCAGTATTATTATCAATTCAAAATAATAAATTATAAAGTGATATTTGCAAGCCTCATGAGAACCTCAAGTCACTAGAAAAAAAATCACCTTCACAAAGCAGAAAAGAGAAACCAAAATAAGACCACAAAACAAGAAATGGCAGAAATAAGTTCTTACTTATCAATAATAACATTTAATGTAAATGAACTAAACTCTCCAATCAGAAGACAAGGAGTAGCTGAATGGATTAAAAAAAAATCCAAGACCCAGTAATTTGTTACATATAAGAACCTGGCCAGGTGAGTGGCAAGATAGCCAAATAAGAACAGCTCCAGTCTGCAGCTCCCAGCAAGATCAATGCAGAAGATGGGTGATGGCTGCATTTCCAATTGAGGTACACAGCTCATCTTATTGGGACTGGTTAGACAGTAGGTGTAGCCCACAAAGAGCAAACCGAAGCAGGGTGGGGCATCACCTCACCTGCGAAGTGCAAGGGGTCAGAGAATTCCCTCCCCTAACCAAGGGAAGCAGTGAGAGACTGTGCCATCAGGAACAATGCACTCTGGCCAAGATACTACATTTTCCCCAAGATCTTCACAACCCACAGACCAGGCAATTCCCTGGGTCTCTATACCACCAGGGCCTTGGGTTTCAAGTATAAAACTGGGCAGGCATTTTGGCAGATACTCAGCTAGCTGCAGGAGTTTTTTTTCATACCTTAGCGGTGCTTGGAACACCAGTGAGACAGAACCATTCACCCCATTGGAAAGGGGGCTGAAGCCAGAGAGCAAAGTGGTCTAGCTCAGAGGATCCAGCCACCACAGAGCTCAGCAAGCTAAGATCCACTGACTTGAAATTCTCACACCACAGTAGTCTAAAGTTGACCTGGGATGCTTAAGCTTGGTGGGCAAAGATGTGTCCGCCATTACTGAGGCTTGAGAAGGTGGTTTTCCCCTCACAGTGTAAACAAAGCTGCCTGGAAGTTTAAACTAAGCAAAGCCCACCGCACCTCTGCAAAACCACTGGAGCAAGACTGACTCTCTAGACTCCTCCTCTCTGGGCAGGGCATCTCTGAAAGAAAGGCAGCAGCCCCAGTCAGGGGCTTATAGATAAAACTCCCATCTCCCTGGAACAGAGCATATGGGGCAATGGACAGCTATGGGTGCAGCTTCAGCAGATGTAAATGTTCCTGCCTGCCACCTCTGAAGAGAGAAGCGGAACTCCCAGCGCAGCACTAGAGCTCTGGTAAGGGAAAGACTGCCTCCTCAAGTGGGTCCCTGATTTCCATAGCTCCTGACTGCGAGACATCTCCCAGGAGGGATCAACAGACACCTCATACAGGAGAGCTACAGCTGGCATCTTGTGGGTGCTCCTCTGAGATGAAGCCTCCAGAGGAAGGAGCAGATGGCACTTTGCTGTTCCACAACGTCCGCTGGTGATACCCAGGCAAACAGGGTCTGGAATGGACATCCAGCAAACTTCAGCAGACTTGCAGCAAAGGGGACTGACTGTTAGAAAGAAAACTAACAAATGGAAAAGAAAGACATCAATATCAACAACAAAAAGTCCACTCAAAAACCCCATCCAAAGGTCACCAACAGCAAAGACCAAAGGTAAATAAATCCATGAAGA